CTTTGCCATCCTAGGACAAATCACATTGCTTTGAGGCTGGGCCTTACTAATCACTGTACAAAAGCACAACTTTAAAACTTTATTCTGTGTTTTGGGTGAAACTGCATCATATTTTATGGAGAAAATATTCTCTGCTTCTCTGTCCTCTGGCTGCTCAGCTTAAACTGAGTTTCCTGATGAACAAATAGCTTTAACTTACCTAATGGTAACTGCTGCTAACTGTAGCTATCGTTAGTGGGCAACAGAACCAGGCTCAGCAGCCTCCCAGTGAACATGGCTGGGCTGGGAGAGGATTTACCCTTTAAATGAGTTCCTGGAGATTGGTGGAAAACACAGATTGTAAAGAAATCTTGAATTATTATTATTTTGTTGCATTAAGAAATATTGATGTTGGCATTATTAATCTAATATGTGAGCAAAAATCATGTTAATGTTGTTTTAATAGCACATCACTCATTGCTCTTTATGTCTTTCATTTAGGATTCTGGAACTTTGTGCCGATTGCAGTAGGTGTTATTGGGATATTGGTGCTGGTATTGTTGAGGTAGATCGGTCTTCTGGTTAACTGACGCTTCCTGATTTAATCCCTGGCTCCTCCAGAAGAATTGAAGTGTCCTTGAGCAATCATGTAATGGAAGGATTATAATTGTTATTATTTTATTATTGTAGTGTCATACACTTTTAATGCACTAGATATAAAATATATATACAACATTATCTAATGCTTATATATTATATTATTTCTTCAGTTCGATGTAAATCCATCCAATATTTCTGATAACCACCGTTTTTATTTTGAATTACATTTGGAGAAATTGGCCTACCTTTTATTGGCTACGGAGTTTGTTGCCAAAAACGTCATTTTCAATCAATCAATCTTTTTTGCATATATTTTACGTCTTCGTATGAAGATGCTTTCTTTGTTTTTGAATCAATTTTGGGGCTCATAGTTTGATTCATACCAGTCTAGTTATATAAGCTGAGTCTGGTTGGTGTGGTTGCTAGGATAACACTATCACTGCATGTTACTGTATGTAGTTAATCAGACTTCAATGTGAACAACATTGTGATTTTCTATGTTTATAATTGTTACAGTAAGGACATAAACATTGGTTATTTGGTTAGTTTTCTGTATGTTACTATATTTATTTATATGATGTATCAGCATTGTAATGCTAGGCTGCAATTCATAAGTAAAATGTATTTATATAATGCTTTTCACAAGGAAATGTACAACGAAAAGTAATAAAATAAACAATAAAACTTTGAGTAACTTCTCTCTATAAATGTGTTGTTGTAAACATCAAGTCTTTGAAACATGGTCACAGTCTCCCCTGTTGCTCCTGAGATATGGTGTTGAATAATGGACAAAAAGGTATTTTTTCAGGACATTATGTTATCGTGACTTTGACCTTTTTGGTAAAACATGCAATCACTTGTTATATCCCATTCAATATGTGTGTGAAATGTTGTCATAATTACAACAATCAATCAATCAATTCTTAAGTTATGACCAAAAATGTAAAACTGTTATCCAATACAACGAAGGGAAAATCAGGGTTGGACCCAAATGCAAGACAGCACAGGAACTTCCTCCAACTCTCTCCATCGTACATGTGAGAGGACACATAGTCACTGCCACTTCCTGTATTCCTCCAGCAGTGCTTTATACATGTGCTCCATAGTTTCCACTTCCTCCTGCTGCGTTCACATCTCACCTCTTGTCTAACACATGAAAACAGCTTTGCACTTCCTCTCAGTGGTCAGCTTGAAAGCACGTTGACTGTCAAAAACAAAAGTTCACTGACAGAGAATCGCTATAATTGATTTCCTGTCGAGTGTGGGACAGATACGCCGACATTACAAAATCTTAGGTAAGTAGGCATGCAATATATGTTTTGTGTAATCAGTGTGAGGCTGTGAACTGTTGAATCTCTACCATGCGTCGGAGTATTACAGGTTATAGATGTCTAAGGTATTTTTAACTGTGTTTTGTGGTCTGTTTCTTTATTTCTCTCTCAGAAACATGGCCCAGGAAGCAGTTGGTGAGAGAAACTAATTTACTGTTTTTTTTTATAAATGACAACACTTTGCTTTATCAACACTGCAGTATTTCAGTATTAAAGAGAACTACAATTAGTCATGTCATATAATAGATAACATTTAATGCTGCTTTTACCAATATTTGCACATTATAACTGGATCAACTGACAGCATGTAAAGTGAAAGTGTTTGCTTGTAGTGGTGAACCTGCAGAGAATCAACTGACTCTAAGTTTCTGTGTCTGTCAGCTCTTTGTTTTCTGACCATAACCTTTACACAACTCTCATTAGTGTTGCTTTCAGTCACATATGATATTAAATGAGGCCAACGTGTCTAATAATTAGTTAATTATAAAGTATGCTAATAAATGTGTTAGAGTGTATAGAGCAGGACATGAGCAGAATAGACCCCTTTTCAGCTCTAATAAACCCACTGTATGTTTCCTACCCAGAACCAAACAGCAGACAGACACAGTTAGCAACTAGCTGGTGAACACAGTGGAGCATTTAGCAACTAAAGAGTCAACATGTTTTTATCAGCAATCAGCAACCACCAACCTGCAACATAATTAGTGCTTCCTGATTGCTTCTGTGGCTTTCGTGTTCATGCAGCAGCTTTAAACCAGGAACAGTGACACAAAAACAAAAGTAAACACAAACTTCTACCGTCTGAGTAATTTTTGCTATGATCATATGAAAATTAATTTTTTTAAGTTTAATTAAAAAAGTAAAGTAAAATACCTTCTAATGAATGCTGGATCTCGTTCTTTCTTCATCTGGGTCTGATGGTGTAGCTACACTAAACTATGTTACAGTGCTATAATGACTGAAATATTCTTCTTTGCCTTTAGTGTCGTGGAAAAAGTTCTGTATCATCTTGGCGGGAAAAACCTACGGGGCTCATCAAGCCTTTGTTGCAAAGCTTAAAAGCATCGGCCAAATTAAGGTGAACTCTGTAGAAAAAAGTGACTACCTTCTGGTTTTCTGTCCCATCACGACACGAGTTGGAACGGACATCAGCGAGGCCATGGAGAAACTTCCAGGTAAGAAATGCCTGCCGTCATTATTTGGTCAATTTCACACTGATTAGCCAAAGTAATACAGGAAAATTTGGCCAATTAGTTTAGTTTTTGTACAGATACTGGACTTTTTTAGCAATTGCCTAAGTTAATTGCATAAGTTTTGTACAACCTTGCAATTTTGTGCCCGCCCTGGAAAAAGCTAGGGGCTATAGCTGATCCCTGAGCTATATATATATATATATATATATACAGATGTAGTAAAAACCAAACTGATCTCATCTCTTAACTGTCATCTTACGTTTGTCTCATCTGGTTGTGTTATCTCTGTGCTTACAGGTGGTAAACCAGCAATTCTGGTGGTGATGCATCACACCTTCGATCCTGACCAAGTTGTATCTAAAAGCAGAAGACAAGTGGAAAAATATCCAAACGTCTACTTCACTGTGGACTGTCTGTTCCATAAGGGCAAACTCCTGAAGTGTAAATGCAATGATAATGCATGGTCTGATGTCCAGATGTGTCTTCCAAGAGGTCCCACGGTAATGATGGATTAAAGTTACAGATCTAATACAATCACACAATCCATGTGTGTGAGTGCACTGATAGAGTGATTTTAAAGGATTAAGGGATCATTACTCTGGTTTAACTCTGAAATGATGAACATGATGTAGTAATTATTACTTATTATTGCTTTTACTCTTTTCTTTCTCTCTTTCTTTTAGGTCTCTCAAGTCTTCAAGAATTACACCAACAATAGTAAGTGTGACTGCAATCCTGAACTTTAAATGTCTATCTTCTTTCATTTCCTTTGAATTAAGGGAAATTGGCATTGGTATTACTAATCTAATCTGAGAGTAAAATAATTTCAGTGTTGTTTGAGTTGTAAATGAAACCAGGTGACTGATTTATCTGTTTTTCTTCCTTTTAGATTTGTGTTTCCTTCAGTGGCTGGCTGTCTTTTTAGTTATTTTTTTAATCATATTGCTGATATTGACGATGAACTTTGACCAAATATTTGGTGTTGGAAGGAAAGTGAACAATGATTCGACTTGAAAGGACAAAGTAAATGTTGTATGTAATGAATGTGTAATGATCTGCAAAAATCTAATGTGTTATTTTTTGTTGTCACTGACATATAGTTGTGAGGGCTGATATATATATATTTTTTGGCTGAAGCTTTTGATCACTTCTGTATCTGAAGCAAAATATGATGAATAACAGCTGCGGTTGGCGGGTTACCTGTGGTTTGGTTGTGTGGGTATGGTGTTGGTTGCTTGTGGTGTAGGCTGAAGGGGTGATTTGCAAACCGCAAGGTAGCATTGAGTCAATAGTCAAAATAAAATATAGGAACACTGCAGATAGTAACATTATTCTTAATATGATTATAATATATTTTCCAGTGTTGAATTTTCATTTCATGTTTGACCGATGCCCAGGATGATGCTCGCTCGATGATGCAGTTCACTTAACGGCCACAGGCATTATTATTAACAACGGCTTTCAATAATCCTTAAATTAATCTTATTTATAGGAAATGTATGTTGATATGTTGCAATCAAGTCATTTAATGAGTATGTAACACCGGGGGAACAAAAGTTACTTCACAACACCAGTAATTGTGCTTTAGAAGTTTTGTACATGTTTAAATGTGTGTGAAACAAATCTAATAAAAAATCAACAAAATGAATCAAAGTGTGTCTTTGTAAATTTGTTGCATCCCAGATTATCAAATGAGATGGATTACTATCAAAAACAAATGTACAGAACTGTGGTGGCATGATAATGGTATTTAAATGTTTTTTGGCGACTGGGAGTCCAGTCTCTGTCGTCCAGGTGTGGTGAAAGCCAGGGGCGTTTCTAGACCCCCTGGGGGCCCTAGGCAAGAAGGACCACAGGGCCCCCCAGAATCGTGATGAATGAAGTCCAGGACTACAGATCAGTAAAGAGATCTTTTATTAAACAATTAATATATAAAATAAATAATAAATAACATAACTATCTGAATGCAAACTTTACATACAATATATAAATAACAGAAAAACAAACATAACTGAAATGTGCAAAATTTTCAGAATGATAAAAACGCAACCAAGCAAGAAAACAAAAAAACGAGGAATTGAAGTGGAAAGGAAGAACTTAAGACTTGCTGTGACACCTTGGTCCTATATCCACAGTCCAATAGTAGTGTCTTTTTTTTCTTAAAACTGCTGCTTGTGGGCCCTGGCTTCTGCAAATGCAGCCACTATGTCTTCCATATCTAAGGACCTCTGAACATCTCTTTCTATTGAAATCAGTGCCAGTCCTGTGAGCCTCTCCTGGCACATGGTTGACCTCAAATAGGGTTTCAACTTCAAAGCAGAAAAGCTCCTCTCACCAGAGACAACGAGTCAAGAGGAGACACAATGCAAAGCTTAGATTACTGTACAGATCCAGAAGGTTTTCACTGTAAATGTAGTTTAATATGTCATTTGGACAGGTGGAGGCGTGGTCTGGAAAAGTGTAGACAGCAGAATTGATCTCCAATTCTCCCCTCATGATCTGAGGTTGATATTGCTAAAACGAAAATAGTATAAGAAACAATTGTTTAAGAAAAATATTTGTGTAGTCACATTAAATCAGATAGATCCCATGATATGTTTTAAATGGGAGAGCAAGTCACTGTAATCTTAACTTTAAAAAGGAAACTAAATAAGTTCCTACTTTTATGTGTAGAGGTCAGCTGTTGCAGCAGCAGCTGCTGCTGCTGCTGTTGTTGTTGTTGTTGTTGTTGTTGTTGTGGGCCAAAAAACTTCAACAAAGCACCTTGAGGAAGAAAAAAGAAAAGAGCACAATGTATTTGGTTGGCTTGCATAAAGTAAAGAACTGTGCATGCTACACAAACACAACATTTGAGATCTGTATGGAATAATTAATGAACATCCATTTGCAGTAACAAGTTTAATGCTTCATGTTAACATTTTATTTAATGTAACATTTAGGCTATAGCAGAAAATGTATGGATATATAGGATAGGATATACTTTATTTATGCCTGAAGGGAAATTCAGTTGTCCAGCAGCTCACATTTTAAAAACAGCAGAACTGATGCTGGTATCAGTTTTAACATTTGACAACAGATGCTTTATTCTGGGAGAAAATATAATTGGCATTGGCAGCAAAGGACTAACTTATTGTGTGGCTATGAATGTGTTTAGAAGAAAATAGCTGAATTCACTTTACACGGACTTTAATGTGCAGTAAACTTTTTTGGTGCTTGGTGGATGACTGGGAGTTTGGGATAAAGTGGCAGGCTGTCTGGCAGCACTACCTTTTTATAATGTAACACATATAGCTTACACATTCCCACTTACCACGGTCACCTTTTTTCATTTCATCCTCTTCTTGTTTTGTTTTTCTTTGCGTGTGCCCAGAGAGATATGTTCGCTTCATTTTCTCCTGTGTGTTTGACCGGGACAGCACGTCAAAGCCGGCTAGTAAGGGGGCCCCATTAGGGAGATTCCCGACGTGTCATTGCAGTGTCTACGGGGGTTTCAAGTTGTGTCGCTGATATGGAGCGATATCAGCCGTCTGTCGGGGCCCCCTACTAGCAACTAGCCAGTGACAACCCGGAAAGGGCCCTGTAGGGGGGGCGTCTAAAGCAGTTCCATTATTTTGTCATTGACGTCAGCCGTCCCTCGGGGCCCCCTTCAGCTCGGGGCCCTCTGGTGAAAGCAATCAAATCAAGAAATAATCTCTAAAAAAATACTGTTGCAGAGTGACGTGGACGAAGACTCAGCTTTGAGCAAAACAATGAAGCATGCAGCCAAGAAAATGTGGTAATACTTTATAATGACAGTCATATATAAGTCTGTAGTCAATAATGAACTAATCATCAACAAAATACTTATATGTTTGTAAAATAAATAATTAGTTGATATGCCAGTTTATTCCACCAGCAGTGTTTATAAATGTGCTCTGCAGTTTCTCCTTCCTCCTCCTGTGTTCACATCTGATCTCTTGTTAAACACTGACACAGTTAATGTCTCATCTCTGCACGTCCTCTAGTGGTCAACTTGAGTTCATGTTGCTTGCAAAAACAAAAGTGAAAGTGCTTCACTCACAGGGAGGAGCTACGGTCCCTTTCCTTGTCGAGTGTGGAACAGAAGTGCCAGAGACATTACAAAGAAATCATCTATTTCGTAAGTAGGCATGAATTAAAGGTACTGCACGGCTTGTAATGAATCCATGTGAGCTTGTGATCTGCTGACTCTCTACATTCATCTGAGTGTTATAGGTTATAGACATCTGTGGTATTTTTATCTGTATTTCCTGGGCTCGGCACAAGCTTGTGCAGAGCAGCTATGACAGAGCAATATGTGACTCATACACCTCCCTGTTTAGCTTTGTTTTACTTCGTAAATGTTACTGAATGTTCCTGTTTCTTTATCTCTTCCGCAGAGACATGGTCAACGAAGTAGCAACTGGTGAGAAAACAAATGTAGTGTTTTTACTGAAATATTTAATTATTACAGAGAATAAACTACATTTAGTCAGTACAATAGATAACACTGAAAGCTGCTCTAACCTATGTTTCTATATTGTAACAGGAATAACTGACAGCATCTAATGTGAGAGGGCTTGCTTGTAGTGATAAACCTACAGAGAATAATCAACTGACTCTCAGTTTCTGTGTCTTTCAGCTTATTGTTTTGGCTTTTTTGGTCATAAACTTTACTATTTTAGTTCACTCCCACACCTCTGTGTGTTTTCAGCAGCTCTGATAGACCCACTGTATGTTGACTGCCCAGCACCAAAGAGCAGACAGCTACAGTTAGCAACCAGCTGGAGAACATAGTGGAGCATTTAGTTACTGAAGAGTCAGACAGTACGTTTCTGCAACAGAATTAGTTCTTCATAAACTGACATATGCTGTTGATTTTAACCATGAAGTAACACACTTTATGTCTGTACAGTCACCACCTCCAACACCTCCTCTGACATAGAAAACTGTAAACTGCTATAATAATATGAAAATTCTGCATCTTTACGGCGCTGTAATGACTCAAACATTCTTTTTGTCTGTAGTGTCTCGGAAAAGGTTCTTTGTCTCCTTGGTGGGAAAAACTAATGGGGCTCATCTAGAACTTGTTACAAAGCTTAAAGGCTTTGGCCAAATTGAGGTGAAGTCTTTTGGAGAAAGTGACTACCTTCTGGTTTTTTTGTCCTATCGTGTCACAAGTTGGAACAGACATCAGCGAGGCCCTGGACAAACTTCCAGGTAGGAAATGCCTTCGGCCATTGGCCAATTTCTCACAGATTAGTCAAAGGAATACAGGGAAATTCAGTCAAAAAGTTCCTTATTTTGGTATGAAAGATACTGCTTCTGTGAACAGATTTAGTCAAGAGCGGTTTAGATTTACTCTCGCCACACCTCAACTCCCAGTTCTTGTTTGCAGGCAGATATTTTAAACAGCTCTGATGCTACCTGCCCATCATCAAACGGCAGATAGACAAAATCACGTTGCTCTGTATCTGCTAGATGTGTGAAAAGGCAGTTGCAGACCCCCGAGTGGCTAATCAGGAGAAACAGGCAGATTCCCGGTGGGCCAGGCTCATTGCTGGGCCGCAAAGGATTGTGGCAGGGTTGGTAAACACAGTCATCTTTATAAATAGAGAACGTGGGCTGCACTAGCAGAAGCCCAGGTGGTTACAGTTGATCACTTGATTGATGACTGATTATATTTGACCTTTGACTCTGACCACAGTGAACACCAACTCAGGTACCAGAGACGGTTTGGCACTTGGTGGAAGATACAAGTAAGACATAAAAAATATAGAGAATGAAAAGAGAAGAGAGAAGTGGGAGCTGAAAAGATCAGAAAAAAAGCTTCACAAGCTGAGGTGGCTAAATGATCCAAACTCTGCTAACTTGTCTATAAGACAGGTTGGTTAGCCTTGGCTACAGTGCTGTCTGATGTCAGAATATAAGGTATAACGTTGAGTGAAGAAGAGGCGGTAAAGCGCCGGGCAGGTAGGATTACTTAGTGTTAAAGACGATCAGAATACTTTTATTTTGGAGGGACGGGGGACTTGTTGTACGAGGACCCAGTAACGTGACCAGAAGGATTGCTGCACCGGTGAGCTGTTGTACCACAGTGTGTGAACAATCAGATATATGTGATCCAGTATCACCACTATTTATACACATATATTAGTAATGTTTTTTTATCATTAAGAGTAGAATAGCAAACATACTAAGACCACAAATGAAACAGAATAGGATGAAAGATAAGACTGCATGTTTTGGCATGGAAAAAAAATCTATGTTGTGAACTAAAGTGGGCTGGTCTGAGGCATGAAACTGGCATGCAATTTCGCTACCCCCCCCCCATCACTTACTTATTCACAACCCAGTTACGCCCCTATATAAAAATACCATGGCAAGAAATGCGTAAAAATTTATGTGAATGAAAACCGTGCTCCCAGGTAGATGGAGTAAAAACCAAACTGATCTCCCCTCTCAGTTTCATCTTGTTTCTGACTCATTTGATTCTGTTATCAGGTGGTAAACCAACAATTCTGGTGGTGTTGCATCACACCTTCAATCGTGACCATGTTGTAGCTGAAAGCAGAAGACTGGTGAACAACATGAACGTCTGCCTCACTTTGGACTGTCTGTTCTATGACGGTAGACTCCTAACGGGCAGACGCAATGATACTGCATGGCGTGATATCCAGAAGTTTCTTCTTGAAGTTTCCCCCTCCCAGGTAGGGGCTAGATTTATTTACTTACTATCACACAGTCAATGTGGGGTGCACTGATATTGTGATATTATGGAATAAGACATTACTATGGTTACTAATTATTATTACTCTTTCTTTGCTTTCATACAGGTCTCTATCTGGACTAGGTTCAGCAATTGTAAGTGTGACTGTAATCATGAACTTGAACAGATTTCAGATCAGATTTTAGTCTGTAAACTTCACTTGGATGTACGGAGTACCGCAACTGCCAAAACCAAAAATAAATAGACAGATAAATTACTTAATACAAAATAATTTTTAAATAAATGTAGGTGTTAATTTCATACAATGTAACATAAATGTATATTTCTGTTTTAATTTGCTTTTTCATTTACCTTTGTATTATTTACCCTATAAATTTACTTTCCCATAGATTTCTCATTTCATTTATACATTTTTTATATATTACTTTATGTGTTTATTTCTTTATATATTGTTTTCCCTTTGCACCCCCCCATTTATTTCCCTAGACATATTTATTACTGTGTTTTCTTGTTATGCGTTTTTGCTTCATTATGCAAACGATATGCAAATATATATACATTAAGTATTTAAAAATGAATACATTAATAAAGAAAATGGAAACTTAAACAGGAAAATTAATACATAGTTGAATTAGTACTGTGCAAAATAGTTACCCATAAGTTCACCTGAAGCCTTAACTGCCTGATTCAGTCAAATCAAGAAGGTTTTTTCCGATTAGTATTTTGTTGATGAGCTGGGTTACAGCAACACTAGCACAAAGCTTTACAATGTGAACCTTGAAGCTGAAATGCAGAAAGCAAACATTGAAGCATGTTAGAATGATGGACTGTGCCTGTAGTTTTATGGTTAAAAGCCAGTTTAGAAAAAAAAAAAAGTTTACTTAATATAAATTAATAATGAAATCGGTATGTTGATCAAATATGTAAGTAAAATCATTTCGATTCCAGATGACTCATTGCTCTGTTTTTCTTTATTTTAGGGTGCTGGCAGAATCGGAAGACTGGTCTTGTTCTTGCACTGGTGGGACGGGCGGGACTGGCGCGACTGGCGCGACTGGCTGTCCTTTTGACAAGAAAATGGGCTTATTATTCTCTTCTATTTCAACCTGTATTTTGTTCTTCTGATCATGTATACTTTAATCATTTTCCTCAGTTTGAATCGAGTGTCTAAGATATGTTGTAAGATTGTAAAGCCCCATGAAACAAATTGTGTTTTGTGATATTCTGGCTATGTAAATAACTTTGTCTTGACTTGAGTAACACGACAGCTTCTAATTTGCAGTTTACAGTATTATTGCAATAAATGATTCTTGGAAGGACAAAATCAATGTGCTATGTAATGCATGTTTAATCATCTGAACAAATGTAATAAAGGAATGATTATTGTTGTTGTTATTGTAGTAAAGTTGTGAGGCCAAGATTTTCATTAATATTTTAGGGGAAAATAATGGAAGAATAAAGTTGAATTTATGTAATGTGAGGCTTCAGCAGTCAATGGATGTATTCCACAGTCACAATGATACAAAGCTCCTCCATACACACACTCTCATACACTGATGGCTATGGGAGGAATTTGTGGTTCAGTATCTGGCCTAAGAATTTTTCAACTGGACTGGGGGAGCAAGGGAATCAAACCAGTGACCCTCCAAAAGGGAGAGATTTTATTAATCCCCAAGGGGAAATTCTTTTTTACTTTACACACAGGCCTGAAATACAATCACACACATGCAGGGCTTACAGACATGCAAATGTGGAGAGATGGTGGAATGATGGGCTGCCACATAGGGACACTTTGCAAGCAGTTAGGGGTTTGGTGCCTTGCTCAAGGGCACCTCTGCAGTGCACAGGAGGTACAACTGGCACCTCTCCAGCTGCCAGTACACACTCCCTACAGACTAAGCTAATGCCCAAATATAAGACCGGATCTGAGGAACTGGCAAGGGGTTGTGTTCTCATCACTGCACCATCGACTCCTTCTGGTTGGTTGGTGTGTCTGTGTAGAGGGGGTGAAGCTTACACTCCCTCCATCCAATATGTAAGGAAACACTCACATTTCTGTAATGTTAATCAAACACATAGTATCTGCCAGTGGCCGTGTATTCCACCAGCAGTGTTGTATAAATACAGTTACTCCCTCCTCCTGCTGTGTTCACATCTGATCTCTTGTTACACACTGACACAAACATGTCTCATCTCTGCACTTCCTCTAGTGGACAGTTTGAGAGCATGTCGTTGGCAAAAGCAAAAGTGAAAGTGCTACAGTCAGAGGGAGGAGCCGTACATATTTTCCTGTCGAGTGTGGAACAGATATGCCAGAGACATTGCAAAGGAATTATCAGTATATTAAATGAGAAAGCTTCTTAAAAGTTTAAATTCCTGCGAGGCTCCGAGCTGCTCACTCTCTACCATGCATCTGAATACTGGTGATTACAGCCGTCTGAGGTATTTGTGACTGTGTTTTGTGGGCTGTGCACAAGCTTGTGCAGAGCAGCTCTGACAAAGCAATATGTGACGCATATACACCTGCTGCTTGTTTAGCTTTATTTCATTGTGTTAAATGATGTTGACTAAATGTTCCTCTCTGATTCTTCATCTACTTTCTCAGTGAGATGGATCAGGAACAGGTGACTGGTAAGAAAACAAATTTACTGTTTTTAATTGACGTTGCTTTGTTAAAAAAGAATAAACTACATTTTCATTACAATAGATAACATTTAAAGCTGCTTTTACCTATATTGTTCTATAATGGGGCAGCAGGAGCTCAGTGTGTAGGGACTTGGCTTGGGAACCAGAGAGTTGCTGGTTCAAGTCCCACAGACCACAAAATATGGAGTGTGGACTGGTAGCCGGAGAGGTGCTCCTGTGCACTGCCAAGGTGCTCTTGAGCAAGGCAACCTAACCCCAAGCCTGCTCATGGGGCGCTGTTAACGTTGCAGCCCAATCACTCTTCCATCTCTCTCCCTGTTTGCATGTCCACATGTGCATGAAAGTGTGTATTTCAGCCTGTGTGTGTAAAAAAAAAAAAGTGAAAAGAACAATTTATTAATTAAAGTATATCTTCTTATAACCGGATCAGCTGACAACATGGAAAGGAAGAACTTAAGACTTGCTGTGACACCTTGGTCCTATATCCACAGTCCAATAGTAGTGTCTTTTTTTTCTTAAAACTGCTGCTTGTGGGCCTTGGCTTCTGCAAATGCAGCACTATGTCTTCCATATCTAAGGACCTCCGAACATCTCTTTCTATTGAAATCAGTGCCAGTCCTGTGAGCCTCTCCTGGCACATGGTTGACCTCAAATAGGGTTTCAACTTCAAAGCAGAAAAGCTCCTCTCAGCAATGCAAAGCTTAGATTACTGTACAGATCCAGAAGGTTTTCACTGTAAATGTAGTTTAACATGTCATTTGGGCAGGTGGAGGCGTGGTCTGGAAAAGTGTAGACAGCAGAATTGATCTCCAATTCTCCCCTCATGATCTGAGGTTGATATTGCTAAAACGAAAATAGTATAAGAAACAATTGTTTAAGAAAAATATTTGTGTAGTCACATTAAATCAGATAGATCCCATGATATGTTTTAAATGGGAGAGCAAGTCACTGTAATCTTAACTTTAAAAAGGAAACTAAATAAGTTCCTACTTTTATGTGTAGAGGTCTGCTGTTGCAGCTGCTGCTGCTGCTGCTGCTGTTGTTGTTGTTGTTGTTGTTGTTGTTGTTTTTGTTGTTGTGGGCCAAAAAACTTCAACAAAGCACCTTGAGGAAGAAAAAAGAAAAGAGCACAATGTATTTGGTTGGCTTGCATAAAGTAAAGAACTGTGCATGCTACACAAACACAACATTTGAGATCTGTATGGAATAATTAATGAACATCCATTTGCAGTAACAACTTTAATGCTTCATGTTAACATTTTATTTAATGTAACATTTAGGATAGGGTATACTTTATTTATGCCTGAAGGGAAATTCAGTTGTCCAGCAGCTCACATTTTAAAAACATAGTTCCAAATACAAATTAGCACCAGTTTAGACTAAACTGACAGCAGAACTGATGCTGGTATCAGTTTTAACATTTGACAACAAATGCTTTATTCTGGGAGAAAATATCATTGGCATTGGCAGCAAAGGACTAACTTATTGTGTGGCTATGAATGTGTTTAGAAGAAAATGGCTGAATTCACTTTACACGGACTTTAATGTGCAGTGACCTTTTTTGGTGCTTGGTGGATGACTGGGAGTTTGGGATAAAGTGGCAGGCTGTCTGGCAGCACTACCTTTTTATAATGTAACACATATAGCTTACACATTCCCACTGTCACCTTTTTTTCTTTTCATCCTCTTCTTGTTTTGTTTTTCTTGTCGTGTTCCCAGAGAGATATGTTCGCTTCATTTTCTCATCTGTGTGTGTTTGACCGGGACCGCACGTCGATGCCGGCTAGTAAGGGGGCCCCATTAGGGAGATTCCCGACGTGTCATTGCAGTGTCTACGGGGGTTTCAAGTTGTGTCGCTGATATGGAGCGATATCAGCCGTCTGTCGGGGCCCCCTACTAGCAACTAGCCAGTGACAACCCGGAAAGGGCCCTGTGCGGGGGGCGTCTAAAGCAGTTCCATTATTTTGTCATTGACGTCAGCCATCCCTCGGGGCCCCCTTCAGCTCGGGGCCCTCTGGTGAAAGCAATCAAATCAAGAAATAATCTCTAAAAAAATACTGTTGCAGAGTGACGTGGACGAAGACTCAGCTTTGAGCAAAACAATGAAGCATGCAGCCAAGAAAATGTGGTAATACTTTATAATGACAGTCATATATAAGTCTGTAGTCAATAATGAACTAATCATCAACAAAATACTTATATGTTTGTAAAATAAATAATGAGTTGATATGCCCGTGTATTCCACCAGCAGTGTTTATAAATGTGCTCTGCAGTTTCTCCTTCCTCCTCCTGTGTTCACATCTGATCTCTTGTTAAACACTGACACAGTTAATGTCTCATCTCTGCACGTCCTCTAGTGGTCAACTTGAGTTCATGTTGCTTGCAAAAACAAAAGTGAAAGTGCTTCACTCACAGGGAGGAGCTACAGTCCCTTTTCTTGTCGAGTGTGGAACAGAAGTGCCAGAGACATTACAAAGAAATCATCTATTTCGTAAGTAGGCATGAATTAAAGGTACTGCATGGCTTGTAATGAATCCATGTGAGCTTGTGATCTGCTGACTCTCTACATTCATCTGAGTGTTATAGGTTATAGACATCTGTGGTATTTTTATCTGTATTTCCTGGGCTCGGCACAAGCTTGTGCAGAGCAGCTATGACAGAGCAATATGTGACTCATACACCTCCCTGTTTAGCTTTGTTTTATGTTACTGAATGTTCCTGTTTCTTTATCTCTTCCGCAGAGACATGGTCAACGAAGTAGCAACTGGTGAGAAAACAAATGTACTGTTTTTACTGCAATATTTCATTATTAAAGAGAATAAACTACATTTAGTCAGTACAATAGATAACACTGAAAGCTGCTCTAACCTATGTTTCTATATTGTAACAGGAATAACTGACAGCATCTAATGTGAGAGGGCTTGCTTGTAGTGATAAACCTACAGAGAACAATCAACTGACTCTCAGTTTCTGTGTCTTTCAGCTCATTGTTTTGGCTTTTTTGGTCATAAACTTTACTATTTTAGTTCACTCCCACACCTCTGTGTGTTTTCAGCAGCTCTGATAGACCCACTGTATGTTGACTGTCCAGCACCAAAGAGCAGACAGCTACAGTTAGCAACCAGCTGGAGAACATAGTGGAGCATTTAGTAACTGAAGAGTCAGACAGTACGTTTCTGCAACAGAATTAGTTCTTCATAAACTGACATATGCTGTTGATTTTAACCATGAAGTAACACACTGTATGTCTGTACAGTCACCACCTCCAACACCTCCTCTGACATAGAAAACTATAAAATGCTATAATAATATGAAAATTCTGCATCTTTACGGCGCTGTAATGACTCAAACATTCTTTTTTGTCTTTAGTGTCGCGGAAAAGGTTCTTTGTCTCCTTGGTGGGAAAAACTAATGGGGCTCATCTAGAACTTGTTACAAAGCTTAAAGGCTTTGGCCAAATTGAGGTGAAGTCTTTTGGAGAAAGTGACTACCTTCTGGTTTTTTGTCCTATCGTGTCACGAGTTGGAACAGACATCAGCGAGGCCCTGGACAAACTTCCAGGTAGGAAATGCCTTCGGCCATTGGCCAATTTCTCACAGATTAGTCAAAGGAATACAGGGAAATTCAGTCAAAAAGTTCCTTATTTTGGTATGAAAGATACTGCTTCTGTGAACAGATTTAGTCAAGAGCGGTTTAGATTTACTCTCGCCACACCTCAACTCCCAGTTCTTGTTTGCAGGCAGATATTTTAAACAGCTCTGATGCTACCTGCCCATCATCAAACGGCAGATAGACAAAATCACGTTGCTCTGTATCTGCTAGATGTGTGAAAAGGCAGTTGCAGACCCCCAGTGGCTAATCAGGAGAAACAGGCAGATTCCCGGTGGGCCAGGCTCATTGCTGGGCCGCAAAGGATTGTGGCAGGGTTGGTAAACACAGTCATCTTTATAAATAGACAATGTGGGCTGCACTAGCAGAAGCCCAGGTGGTTACAGTTGATCACTTGATTGATGACTGATTATATTTGACCTTTGACTCTGACCACAGTGAACACCAACTCAGGTACCAGAGACGGTTTGGCACTTGGTGGAAGATACAAGTAAGACATAAAAAATATAGAGAATGAAAAGAGAAGAGAGAAGTGGGAGCTGAAAAGATCAGGAAAAAAGCTTCACAAGCTGAGGTGGCTAAATGATCCAAACTCTGCTAACTTGTCTATAAGACAGGTTGGTTAGCCTTGGCTACAGTGCTGTCTGATGTCAGAATATAAGGTATAACGTTAAGTGAAGAAGAGGCGGTAAAGCGCCGGGCAGGTAGGATTACTTAGTGTTAAAGACGATCAGAATACTTTTATTTTGGAGGGATGGGGGGACTTGTAGTACGAGGACTCAGTAACGTGACCAGAAGGATTGCTGCACCGGTGAGCTGTTGTACCACAGTGTGTGAACAATCAGATATATGTGATCCAGTATCACCACTATTTATACACATATATTAGTAATGTTTTTTTATCATTACGAGTAGAATAGCAAACATACTAAGACCACAACTGAAACAGAATAGGATGGAAGATAAGACTGCATGTTTTGGCATGGAAAAAAATCTATGTTGTGAACTAAAGTGGGCTGGTCTGAGGCATGAAACTGGCATGCAATTTCGCTACCCCCCCCATCACTTACTTATTCACAACCCAGTTACGCCCCTATATAAAAATACCATGGCAAGAAATGTGTAAAAATTTATGTGAATGAAAACCGTGCTCCCAGGTAGATGGAGTAAAACCAAACTGATCTCCCCTCTCAGTTTCATCTTGTTTCTGACTCATTTGATTCTGTTATCAGGTGGTAAACCAACAATTCTGGTGGTGTTGCATCACACCTTCAATCGTGACCATGTTGTAGCTGAAAGCAGAAGACTGGTGAACAACATGAACGTCTGCCTCACTTTGGACTGTCTGTTCTATGACGGTAGACTCCTAACGGGCAGACGCAATGATACTGCATGGCGTGATATCCAGAAGTTTCTTGGAGTTTCCCCCTCCCAGGTAGGGGCTATTTATTTACTTACTATCACACAGTCAATGTGGGGTGCACTGATATTGTGATATTATGGAATAAGACATTACTATGGTTACTAATTATTATTACTCTTTCTTTGCTTTCATACAGGTCTCTATCCGGACTAGGTTCAGCAATTGTAAGTGTGACTGTAATCATGAACTTGAACAGATTTCAGATCAGATTTTAGTCTGTAAACTTCACTTGGATGTACGGAGTACCGCAACTGCCAAAACCAAAAATAAATAGACAGATAAATTACTTAATACAAAATAATTTTTAAATAAATGTAGGTGTTAATTTCATACAATGTAACATAAATGTATATTTCTGTTTTAATTTGCTTTTTCATTTACCTTTGTATTATTTACCCTATAAATTTACTTTCCCATAGATTTCTCATTTCATTTATACATTTTTTATATATTACTTTATGTGTTTATTTCTTTATATATTGTTTTCCCTTTGCACCCCCCATTTATTTCCCTAGACATATTTATTACTGTGTTTTCTTGTTATGCGTTTTTGCTTCATTATGCAAACGATATGCAAATATATATACATTAAGTATTTAAAAATGAATACATTAATAAAGAAAATGGAAACTTAAACAGGAAAATTAATACATAGTTGAATTAGTACTGTGCAAAATAGTTACCCATAAGTTCACCTGAAGCCTTAACTGCCTGATTCAGTCAAATCAAGAAGGTTTTTTTCCGATTAGTATTTTGTTGATGAGCTGGGTTACAGCAACACTAGCACAAAGCTTTACAATGTGAACCTTGAAGCTGAAATGCAGAAAGCAAACATTGAAGCATGTTAGAATGATGGACTGTGCCTGTAGTTTTATGGTTAAAAGCCAGTTTAGAAAAAAAAAAAAGTTTACTTAATATAAATTAATAATGAAATCGGTATGTTGATCAAATATGTAAGTAAAATCATTTCGATTCCAGATGACTCATTGCTCTGTTTTTCTTTATTTTAGGGTGCTGGCAGAATCGGAAGACTGGTCTTGTTCTTGCACTGGTGGGACGGGCGGGACTGGCGCGACTGGCGCGACTGGCTGTCCTTTTGACAAGAAAATGGGCTTATTATTCTCTTCTATTTCAACCTGTATTTTGTTCTTCTGATCATGTATACTTTAATCATTTTCCTCAGTTTGAATCGAGTGTCTAAGATATGTTGTAAGATTGTAAAGCCCCATGAAACAAATTGTGTTTTGTGATATTCTGGCTATGTAAATAACTTTGTCTTGACTTGAGTAACACGACAGCTTCTAATTTGCAGTTTACAGTATTATTGCAATAAATGATTCTTGGAAGGACAAAATCAATGTGCTATGTAATGCATGTTTAATCATCTGAACAAATGTAATAAAGGAATGATTATTGTTGTTGTTATTGTAGTAAAGTTGTGAGGCCAAGATTTTCATTAATATTTTAGGGGAAAATAATGGAAGAATAAAGTTGAATTTATGTAATGTGAGGCTTCAGCAGTCAATGGATGTATTCCACAGTCACAATGATACAAAGCTCCTCCATACACACACTCTCATACACTGATGGCTATGGGAGGAATTTGTGGTTCAGTATCTGGCCTAAGAATTTTTCAACTGGACTGGGGGAGCAAGGGAATCAAACCAGTGACCCTCCAAAAGGGAGAGATTTTATTAATCCCCAAGGGGAAATTCTTTTACTTTACGAACAGGCCTGAAATACAATCACACACATGCAGGGCTTACAGACATGCAAATGTGGAGAGATGGTGGAATGATGGGCTGCCACATAGGGACACTTTGCAAGCAGTTAGGGGTTTGGTGCCTTGCTCAAGGGCACCTCTGCAGTGCACAGGAGGTACAACTGGCACCTCTCCAGCTGCCAGTACACACTCCCTACAGACTAAGCTAATGCCCAAATATAAGACTGGATCTGAGGAAATGGCAAGGGGTTGTGTTCTCATCACTGCACCATCGACTCCTTCTGGTTGGTTGGTGTGTCTGTGTAGAGGGGGTGAAGCTTACACTCCCTCCATCCAATATGTAAGGAAACACTCACATTTCTGTAATGTTAATCAAACACATAGTATCTGCCAGTGGCCTTGTATTCCACCAGCAGTGTTGTATAAATACAGTTACTCCCTCCTCCTGCTGTGTTCACATCTGATCTCTTGTTACACACTGACACAAACATGTCTCATCTCTGCACTTCCTCTAGTGGACAGTTTGAGAGCATGTCGTTGGCAAAAGCAAAAGTGAAAGTGCTACAGTCAGAGGGAGGAGCCGTGCATATTTTCCTGTCGAGTGTGGAACAGATATGCCAGAGACATTGCAAAGGAATTATCAGTATATTAAATGAGAAAGCTTCTTAAAAGTTTAAATTCCTGCGAGGCTCCGAGCTGCTCACTCTCTACCATGCATACTGGTGATTACAGCCGTCTGAGGTATTTGTGACTGTGTTTTGTGGGCTGTGCACAAGCTTGTGCAGAGCAGCTCTGACAAAGCAATATGTGACGCATATACACCTGCTGCTTGTTTAGCTTTATTTCATTGTGTTAAATGATGTTGACTAAATGTTCCTCTCTGATTCTTCATCTACTTTCTCAGTGAGATGGATCAGGAACAGGTGACTGGTGAGAAAACAAATTTACTGTTTTTAATTGACGTTGCTTTGTTAAAAAAGAATAAACTACATTTTCATTACAATAGATAACATTTAAAGCTGCTTTTACCTATATTGTTCTATAATGGGGCAGCAGGAGCTCAGTGTGTAGGGACTTGGCTTGGGAACCAGAGAGTTGCTGGTTCATGTCCCACAGACCACAAAATATGGAGTGTGGACTGGTAGCCGGAGAGGTGCTCCTGTGCACTGCCAAGGTGCTCTTGAGCAAGGCAACCTAACCCCAAGCCTGCTCATGGGGCGCTGTTAACGTTGCAGCCCAATCACTCTTCCATCTCTCTCCCTGTTTGCATGTCCACATGTGCATGAAAGTGTGTATTTCAGCCTGTGTGTGTAAAAAAAAAAAAGTGAAAAGAACAATTTATTAATTAAAGTATATCTTCTTATAACCGGATCAGCTGACAACATGGAAAGGAAGAACTTAAGACTTGCTGTGACACCTTGGTCCTATATCCACAGTCCAATAGTAGTGTCTTTTTTTTCTTAAAACTGCTGCTTGTGGGCCTTGGCTTCTGCAAATGCAGCCACTATGTCTTCCATATCTAAGGACCTCTGAACATCTCTTTCTATTGAAATCAGTGCCAGTCCTGTGAGCCTCTCCTGGCACATGGTTGACCTCAAATAGGGTTTCAACTTCAAAGCAGAAAAGCTCCTCTCACCAATGCAAAGCTTAGATTACTGTACAGATCCAGAAGGTTTTCACTGTAAATGTAGTTTAACATGTCATTTGGGCAGGTGGAGGCGTGGTCTGGAAAAGTGTAGACAGCAGAATTGATCTCCAATTCTCCCCTCATGATCTGAGGTTGATATTGCTAAAACGAAAATAGTATAAGAAACAATTGTTTAAGAAAAATATTTGTGTAGTCACATTAAATCAGATAGATCCCATGATATGTTTTAAATGGGAGAGCAAGTCACTGTAATCTTAACTTTAAAAAGGAAACTAAATAAGTTCCTACTTTTATGTGTAGAGGTCAGCTGTTGCAGCTGCTGCTGCTGCTGCTGCTGTTGTTGTTGTTGTTGTTGTTGTGGGCCAAAAAACTTCAACAAAGCACCTTGAGGAAGAAAAAAGAAAAGAGCACAATGTATTTGGTTGGCTTGCATAAAGTAAAGAACTGTGCATGCTACACAAACACAACATTTGAGATCTGTATGGAATAATTAATGAACATCCATTTGCAGTAACAACTTTAATGCTTCATGTTAACATTTTATTCAATGTAACATTTAGGCTATAGCAGAAAATGTATGGATATATAGGATAGGGTATACTTTATTTATGCCTGAAGGGAAATTCAGTTGTCCAGCAGCTCACATTTAAAAAACATAATTCCAAATACAAATTAGCACCAGTTTAGACTAAACTGACAGCAGAACTGATGCTGGTATCAGTTTTAACATTTGACAACAAATGCTTTATTCTGGGAGAAAATATAATTGGCATTGGCAGCAAAGGACTAACTTATTGTGTGGCTATGAATGTGTTTAGAAGAAAATGGCTGAATTCACTTTACACGGACTTTAATGTGCAGTGACCTTTTTTGGTGCTTGGTGGATGACTGGGAGTTTGGGATAAAGTGGCAAGCTGGCTGGCAGCACTACCTTTTTATAATGTAACACATATAGCTTACACATTCCCACTTACCACTGTCACCTTTTTTTCATTTCATCCTCTTGTTGTTTTGTTTTTCTTTGCATGTGCCCACAGAGATATGTTCGCTTCATTTTCTCCTGTGTGTGTTTGACCGGGACAGCACGTCGATGCCGGCTAGTAAGGGGGCCCCATTAGGGAGATTCCCGACGTGTCATTGCAGTGTCTACGGGGGTTTCAAGTTGACTGACTCTCAGTTTCTGTGTCTTTCAGCTTATTGTTTTGGCTTTTTTGGTCATAAACTTTACTATTTTAGTTCACTCCCACACCTCTGTGTGTTTTCAGCAGCTCTGATAGACCCACTGTATGTTGACTGCCCAGCACCAAAGAGCAGACAGCTACAGTTAGCAACCAGCTGGAGAACATAGTGGAGCATTTAGTAACTGAAGAGTCAGACAGTACGTTTCTGCAACAGAATTAGTTCTTCATAAACTGACATATGCTGTTGATTTTAACCATGAAGTAACACACTGTATGTCTGTACAGTCACCACCTCCAACACCTCCTCTGACATAGAAAACTGTAAACTGCTATAATAATATGAAAATTCTGCATCTTTACGGCGCTGTAATGACTCAAACATTCTTTTTTGTCTGTAGTGTCTCGGAAAAGGTTCTTTGTCTTCTTGGTGGGAAAAACTAATGGGGCTCATCTAGAACTTGTTACAAAGCTTAAAGGCTTTGGCCAAATTGAGGTGAAGTCTTTTGGAGAAAGTGACTACCTTCTGGTTTTTTGTCCTATCGTGTCACGAGTTGGAACAGACATCAGCGAGGCCCTGGACAAACTTCCAGGTAGGAAATGCCTTCGGCCATTGGCCAATTTCTCACAGATTAGTCAAAGGAATACAGGGAAATTCAGTCAAAAAGTTCCTTATTTTGGTATGAAAGATACTGCTTCTGTGAACAGATTTAGTCAAGAGCGGTTTAGATTTACTCTCGCCACACCTCAACTCCCAGTTCTTGTTTGCAGGCAGATATTTTAAACAGCTCTGATGCTACCTGCCCATCATCAAACGGCAGATAGACAAAATCACGTTGCTCTGTATCTGCTAGATGTGTGAAAAGGCAGTTGCAGACCCCCGAGTGGCTAATCAGGAGAAACAGGCAGATTCCCGGTGGGCCAGGCTCATTGCTGGGCCGCAAAGGATTGTGGCAGGGTTGGTAAACACAGTCATCTTTATAAATAGACAATGTGGGCTGCACTAGCAGAAGCCCAGGTGGTTACAGTTGATCACTTGATTGATGACTGATTATATTTGACCTTTGACTCTGACCACAGTGAACACCAACTCAGGTACCAGAGACGGTTTGGCACTTGGTGGAAGATACAAGTAAGACATAAAAAATATAGAGAATGAAAAGAGAAGAGAGAAGTGGGAGCTGAAAAGATCAGGAAAAAGCTTCACAAGCTGAGGTGGCTAAATGATCCAAACTCTGCTAACTTGTCTATAAGACAGGTTGGTTAGCCTTGGCTACAGTGCTGTCTGATGTCAGAATATAAGGTATAACGTTAAGTGAAGAAGAGGCGGTAAAGCGCCGGGCAGGTAGGATTACTTAGTGTTAAAGACGATCAGAATACTTTTATTTTGGAGGGATGGGGGACTTGTAGTACGAGGACTCAGTAACGTGACCAGAAGGATTGCTGCACCGGTGAGCTGTTGTACCACAGTGTGTGAACAATCAGATATATGTGATCCAGTATCACCACTATTTATACACATATATTAGTAATGTTTTTTTATCATTAAGAGTAGAATAGCAAACATACTAAGACCACAAATGAAACAGAATAGGATGGAAGATAAGACTGCATGTTTTGGCATGGAAAAAAAATCTATGTTGTGAACTAAAGTGGGCTGGTCTGAGGCATGAAACTGGCATGCAATTTCGCTACCCCCCCATCACTTACTTATTCACAACCCAGTTACGCCCCTATATAAAAATACCATGGCAAGAAATGCGTAAAAATGTATATGAATGAAAACCACAGCCCCCCCGTGCTCCCAGGTAGATGGAGTAAAAACCAAACTGATCTCCCCTCTCAGTTTCATCTTGTTTCTGACTCATTTGATTCTGTTATCAGGTGGTAAAGCAACAATTCTGGTGGTGTTGCATCACACCTTCAATCGTGACCATGTTGTAGCTGAAAGCAGAAGACTGGTGAACAACATGAACGTCCGCCTCACTGTGGACTGTCTGTTCTATGAGGGTAGACTCCTAACGTGCAGACGCAATGATACTGCATGGAGTGATATCCAGAAGTTTCTTGGAGTTTCCCCCTCCCAGGTAGGGGCTAGATTTATTTACTTACTATCACACAGTCAGTGTGGGGTGCACTGATATTGTGATATTATGGAATAAGACATTACTATGGTTACTAATTATTATTACTCTTTCTTTGCTTTCATACAGGTCTCTATCCGGACTAGGTTCAGCAATTGTAAGTGTGACTGTAATCATGAACTTGAACAGATTTCAGATCAGATTTTAGTCTGTAAACTTCACTTGGATGTACGGAGTACCGCAACTGCCAAAACCAAAAATAAATAGACAAATAAATTACTTAATACAAAATAATTTTAAAATAAATGTAGGCGTTAATTTCATACAATGTAACATAAATGTATATTTCTGTTTTAATTTGCTTTTTCATTTACCTTTGTATTATTTACCCTATAAATTTACTTTCCCATAGATTTTTCATTTCATTTATAAATTTTTTATATATTACTTTATGTGTTTATTTCTTTATATATTGTTTTCCCTTTGCACCCCCCCATTTATTTCCCTAGACATATTTATTACTGTGTTTTCTTTTTATGCATTTTTGCTTCATTATGCAAACGATATGCAAATATATAATACATTAAGTATTTAAAAATGAATACATTGATAAAGAAAATGGAAACTTAAACAGGAAAATGAATACATAGGTGAATTAGTACTGTGCAAAATAGTTACCCATAAGTTCACCTGAAGCTTTAACTGCCTGATTCAGTCAAATCAAGAAGGTTTTTTCCGATTAGTATTTTGTTGATGAGCTGGGTTACAGCAACACTAGCACAAAGCTTTACAATGTGAACCTTGAAGCTGAAATGCAGAAAGCAAACATTGAAGCATGTTAGAATGATGGACTGTGCCTGTAGTTTTATGGTTAAAAGCCAGTTTAGAAAAAAAAAAGTTTACTTAATATAAATTAATAATGAAATCGGTATGTTGATCAAATATGTAAGTAAAATCATTTCGATTCCAGATGACTCATTGCTCTGTTTTTCTTTATTTTAGGGTGCTGGCAGAATCGGAAGACTGGTCTTGTTCTTGCACTGGTGGGACTGGCGGGACTGGTGCGACTGGCTGTCCTTTTGACAAGAAAATGGGCTTATTATTCTCTTCTATTTCAACCTGTATTTTGTTCTTCTGATCATGTATACTTTAATCATTTTCCTCAGTTTGAATCGAGTGTCTAAGATATGTTGTAAGATTGTAAAGCCCCATGAAACAAATTGTGTTTTGTGATATTCTGGCTATGTAAATAACTTTGTCTTAACTTGAGTAACACGACAGCTTCTAATTTGCAGTTTACAGTATTATTGCAATAAATGATTCTTGGAAGGACAAAATCAATGTGCTATGTAATGCATGTTTAATCATCTGAACAAATGTAATAAAGGAATGATTATTGTTGTTATTATTGTAGTAAAGTTGTGAGGCCAAGATGTTCATTAATATTTTAGGGGAAAATAATGGAAGAATAAAAGATCTGCAGATCCAGTCTTCATTTTGTAGATCTTAAAGTTGAATTTATGTAATGTGAGGCTTCAGCAGTCAATGGATGTATTCCACAGTCACAATGATACAAAGCTCCTCCATACACACACTCTCATACACTGATGGCTATGGGAGGAATTTGTGGTTCAGTATCTGGCCTAAGAATTTTTCAACTGGACTGGGGGAGCAAGGGAATCAAACCAGTGACCCTCCAAAAGGGAGAGATTTTATTAATCCCCAAGGGGAAATTCTTTTTTACTTTACACACAGGCCTGAAATACAATCATACACATGCAGGGCTTACAGACATGCAAATGTGGAGAGATGGTGGAATGATGGGCTGCCACATAGGGACACTTTGCAAGCAGTTAGGGGTTTGGTGCCTTGCTCAAGGGCACCTCTGCAGTGCACAGGAGGTAGAACTGGCACCTCTCCAGCTGCCAGTACACACTCCCTACAGACTAAGCTAATGCCCAAATATAAGACCGGATCTGAGGAAATGGCAAGGGGTTGTGTTCTCATCACTGCACCATCGACTCCTTCTGGTTGGTTGGTGTGTCTGTGTAGAGGGGGTGAAGCTTAGACTCCCTCCATCCAATATGTAAGGAAACACTCACATTTCTGTAATGTTAATCAAACACATAGTATCTGCCAGTGGCCCTGTATTCCACCAGCAGTGTTGTATAAATACAGTTACTCCCTCCTCCTGCTGTGTTCACATCTGATCTCTTGTTACACACTGACATAAACATGTCTCATCTCTGCACTTCCTCTAGTGGACAGTTTGAGAGCACGTCGTTGGCAAAAGCAAAAGTGAAAGTGCTACAGTCAGAGGGAGGAGCCGTACATATTTTCCTGTCGAGTGTGGAACAGATATGCCAGAGACATTGCAAAGGAATTATCAGTCTATTTAATGAGAAAGCTTCTTAAAAGGTTTAAATTCTTGCGAGGCTCCGAGCTGCTCACTCTCTACCATGCATACTGGTGATTACAGCCGTCTGAGGTATTTGTGACTGTGTTTTGTGGGCTGTGCACAAGCTTGTGCAGAGCAGCTCTGACAAAGCAATATGTGACGCATATACACCTGCTGCTTGTTTAGCTTTATTTCATTGTGTTAAATGATGTTGACTAAATGTTACTCTCTGATTCTTCATCTACTTTCTCAGTGAGATGGATCAGGAACAGGTGACTGGTGAGAAAACAAATTTACTGTTTTTAATTGACGTTGCTTTGTTAAAAAAGAATAAACTACATTTTCATTACAATAGATAACATTTAAAGCTACTTTTACCTATATTGTTCTATAATGGGGCAGCAGGAGCTCAGTGTGTAGGGACTTGGCTTGGGAACCAGAGAGTTGCTGGTTCAAGTCCCACAGACCACAAAATATGGAGTGTGGACTGGTAGCCGGAGAGGTGCTCCTGTGCACTGCCAAGGTGCTCTTTGAGCAAGGCAACCTAACCCCAAGCCTGCTCATGGGGCGCTGTTAACGTTGCAGCCCAATCACTCTACCATCTCTCTCCCTGTTTGCATGTCCACATGTGCATGAAAGTGTGTATTTCAGCCTGTGTGTGTAAAAAAAAAAGTGAAAAGAACAATTTATTAATTAAAGTATATCTTCTTATAACCGGATCAGCTGACAACAT